GACAGAACAAACACCCCAAATCCATTCCTAGCCTACCCTGTATCACTAAACAAGCCCCAGCGACCTAGGATTTGAGTCCTGCAAGTTCACCTATTTAACAAAGAGTGAACTGATATCAAATGCAGAGACTAAACTAACTATATTTTAGACATTTTCCTTAGTCCTTGGGCAGAGGACTTATCCTTTATTAGGATGAATAAAGACTAAGGTCTTTATGACTGAAGATTAGAATATTGCTTTCTCTACTGTCTGTACCCCTCTGTTTTGCTTTTATGACAAATACAAGGAGAATAATTTTTATACCCTCAAACTCAAAACATTTTCACATGAAAATATGAACAAATACCAACCTCTTATTTATAAAAATACAGGTCAGGTTACCATGTTTTTTTAGGTATCATGTTGACAACACTGCCTAACACCATTCTTAATTCTATCTCAATAGCATTATGATTTATTTCATTATGATTTAGTGCCCAAGTTCAAACCACAGGCATGCCCATACCACTTCAGTGGTCTCATTTATGTTAGGGAATAACTATATAATTCAGTTTCTCCATGTGGAAACTATGCATACATATCTCTCCTTTAAAGGTTAGTCCCGAGAATTAAATAAAATGTTCTGAGGTCAGATTCTTAAAAACCAACGTCCCAGAGCCTAAGCAGGGACAAGGTGGCCCGCACGCCCAATCCTATGGTGCCAGCACTGAAGGACACTGATAACCCACAGAGGTAAAGTTCACTGTAACCTCTAGTCCAGCCCAGACTCCATCCTGAAACCTTTTCCCCCAAAACAAACTAAAAAGCAAAAGTTTCTTTCCTACTCTCTCTACAAATAGTCACTTCCAAACTAGGTGTGGGGTTGTCTGCCCTTGACGGCAGCACTTGGGAAACAAAGATGGGATATCGCTATGAGTTCAAGGCCAGCCTGGCTTACATATCAAAATATAAGACATAGTCGGTACTACAGAATGAGATCCTATTTAAAAAAAGAAAAAAAAAAAGTCACTGCATATTGTATATGGAAGGAAGGGAGAAAGCAAGGAAGGAAGGAGGGCAGGCAATTAATGTAAAGGAAAAACTAAGTAAACCTAGGGTCTTGGGTAAAGTGACACGCTTCTGCCAAAGCCACCTTCTGTCCTGGAGACAGAGCAGCTGGCAGACTGGGAAACGTTCTTCGCTCCTTAAATGCAAAAACTACTAAATGTAGGCAACGGTGATCCAAGGCCCATGTTCTGATCCTATTTTACCCATCCATGATCGCTACACATGATGAAGATAAATGCTCTATGGGACAGACATCAGCTCCACTGCAGGGGACTTGTCACTCCCCCACGACTCAGTACTAGGAGACACAGCCTTCCTAAGAACGAGGGGATCACTCATTTTTATATTAAAAAAAATCACAATTAATATAAAAGTGACTTGAAGGTAAGGAGTTAAAAAAAGACATACACTCTCATTTCCAATTTGATAATACATAGAATATAATAGAATAGGCCAATATTTGTTTCCAAACTAACAGTTTAAACAAGAGTGCCCACAGTGAAGAATTAGTAGTACAGATGATTTAAAACATAAAATGAAAAAGGCCACGAGTTCTGTAATCCCAGAACTCAGAAAGCTGAGACAGGAAGGGCAGAGTTTGAGACCCTCCTGTGCCACAGGATAAATTCGGTTAATTGTTGTTAGATGGCTACAGGTTGGAGAGAAGCGAGGAGCTGCTTCTGTACTGCTAATGAGTACGTTTTTTTTTTTTTTTTTTAAGGCTGAAAAAGTAAAACAACTCTGGAAAGTTGAGGATGTAGCTCAATAGAAGAACCCTTGCCTGGCATGTGTGGAGCCCTGGATTCAACCCCCAGTACCCTCACACACACACACACACACACACACACACACACACACACACACACAGCATTTCTAGATCTGGGATGTGATGCATTAGTGGCAGCAGCTATACAATGTGGATATACCCTTAATACCAGTGAGCTGGACAGTTAAAAATGGCAATTATGGTTAAATTTTACGTATATTTTACAATAAACCTTTAATGCCATTTGCCTTAAAATGAAACTACATGAAACAAGGATGTATTACTTGTTACGAGTTCTTGTTCATCTAAACCAATAGTAAGAACCCGAGATCAAGAACATAAAAATGAGCATTCAATTAGGTTAAGTGACTCATTAACATAACAAAACCACTCTATTACTGCAGAAAGCCCTTAACTATGCAGGAGACTACGCTTATTAAAAGAATCCTATACACATGAAGGTGTATAATATAGACATATGTATACACACACATATATACATGTAGTACAAAAGCATATAAACACATACAAACACATATATGTATTCACATACAAGTGGCCAAGCCAACCATTCATTGTATCCCTATACTGTTATCAGTAAAACAGATTGATTATGGTAGGGTCCATTCATAATGCAGAACTGAAAATATATTATTGTAGAATCACACAAATTTGCACAGTACCTGAAGACACAGAAACTGCCCTGGGGTTGGGGCATCTTCTTCCCATGCTCTACCTACTCCACCCCCAACCCACACACTGCCTCTTACCCCGGAAAACTGATATCTGTGTGCTTACCACCAGTCCTAGTACAAGGGTGCGAACTCTTTCTCCAATCTCTGGCGAAATGTCATTGCCAAACTGCTGCAGGGTAGTAAGAAATCGTTTCAGCTTGCTGAGTTGCCTAGCACCACAGGCTGGGGGCAGCTGTTGATTAGCCAGAGAAGAGGAAGAGGAAGAGGAAGGCCCGTTGCTAAAGCCATTAGGCGGTGAGGGGGCGCCATTCAAGGCCGTGGGTGAATGGCTGGTGCCATTCGTTACTGTCAAGGGCACAAAATCAGAAGGAAAAAGTAAGTAAATTTACAAAAGAGAATGCATAAAGGAACTGCCACTAAGAGTCTTTGCCTTGAAATCTTCTGGTTGTGTAATTTCAAATATACAGGGACACTTTGCAAAATGCTTGGACATTACCGCATCACAGGACTCAGATATTCCTTCAAGCCCGAGTCTCCTTTTTAAAGTGAGGGGCAGCCTGCTGTACAGAAGCTGATAATAAACGGAGTCTGCCGCCGTGTGGAGCCAGCCCTGCCTCCCATGCGCACATATGCCAACCACCTGAAATGCTTCAAACATAGCACAAACAGCTTCGGAGGTCAGCCTTTTGTCACAGGCATCAATATAACAGGATGGCTTCTCCCTAAACTGCTCCCCTAGAGAAAGTGTACATTTGGTGGGGACTAAATTTATCACTGAACATTTTTAATCATGTTCTGTACACACAACTGACAGCTGTGTTTATAGCAAGAGGACTTTCAAGTTTTAACCTTATACCACCCAATTAGAAGGCTATTTTCCCTCCTTCTTATTTCTTAACCATTTGTTGGGGAGGGGGGAGGTAAATGTAAGTTTTACATAGGAAAATAGGAAGACAAAAATAGACTAGAGACTTACTAAGGAGTTATTTTAAGAAACTGAAAGGGGACAGCTCAGTTTAGCCCAGAACATAGATTAGTAATAGTTTACTAAATTGATTTCTGATAAAACTTATTTGAAGGTGGAGATGATGGTCTGTAAGAACTAGCACAGAAGCAATGGTGCGCTGTGGCATATGCCTAGCATCCCAGCATCCCAGCCCTTGGGAGATGTAGGCAAGAGGATAAGACGTTCAATGTCATCTTCAACTACACATAACAAGTTTGGAGCCAGCGTGAGCTACACAGTGACACCCTGCCTCAAAAGTAAAACAGAGAATGAAATGTCCTTTAATCTCAGTGAGGAACAAAGGAACCTATCCATGCTCACCAGGCCTTGTCAGAGGAGACACATGCCTGTCACCATGACTTTGGATAACAAACCATTCAACGACAGGTTACGACTTTACATGTCACAGCCTTCTGCCCCACACACGTCTGGAAAGATCTTTTAAATGGCAAAGCTGTTGTTCATGAATACTTAAGATGTGTATCTTTAGAGACTCATAGATTGATTTTTGCCTCTCAGATATTTTTCATTCATATGGTTCCATGGCACATCATCCATTAATAGTATCGCCTATAACAGATAAATATTTCTTAGCTTCATAAAGCTTTGATGACAACTTTAACCAGAGCAGTGAGACTGATTAAAACCATCCTACCTAGTGCTTCTGCTAGAATGCGAAAGTTGCCTGGTGCTCAGAATTTTGTCCTTTTCTGAGATGCTACAGGAAGAAGTACACCCCACTGACTGAGAACACGGGACCTGAGCTGAATGAAAATGGAGTAAGGTTTGATAAAAGCTTGGCAGATTCATGATAAGAATCATGCTGCTGAATTCAGAAAGGTTTCTATAGAAGAGTGTTGCACCAAGCAATGGCCCTTTAAACCTCAGAATGTAAGGGTTTTTTTAAAATATTATTTGTAGCTATTTAGCATAGAAGAAAGCATGGCAACTAGGAATAATTATAGCATGTTTCTATGTTCTAAGTGAAACTGAACAACCAAAATAAAGAGCTCTATGTTAACATGAATTAAAAGTCATGGGCGTAACTAGAGCAAGGGAGCAAATGTAATATTATTCATTTGTTCAAATCGTAGCAGATTACAATGTTGAAGTAATAATATAAAGGCAGGCAAATATTCACAGTTGTACCAATTATACCTAAAACATGACACTTTCGTTTGGGTTCAATAACCATTACCTACTGGCAAACTTTCAAGGTTTTTGTACTTGATTCTGCATGAAGCATTGACACTGGATTTTATTTTTTTTCTTTAATTTTTTTTATGTGCAGAAAAATTTCAATTTAACCATTAAAACTGAACACTTCAATTCAGAACTGAGTACTTACATGTCGTTGGCGTAAATGAGCTGGTTCTCGGAGCTCCTTGGGTGGTCGGGGGAGGTGGCATCGCTGGAGGAGTCAGCCTAGATTGCGTCTTCACATCCACAGGTGAGTCTGGCATTGTGGAGTGTTTCTCAGTACGATCTGGGAATGCCACCAGGAACACGTTATTTCATTCCTTAAACACCTGGCTTTCACAAAGTGGGAGTCTGTCTTTTACAGAGGCACACGAACACATGAAATCCAACATCTCCTATAAGCAAAGTACGCTTATCTATGTATGTGTAAAGAGGAACGTTATCCTCCAAGTGCCACTTGAAAAGGTGTAGCACAGATGGCAGACCTCACTTGTAACCCGGCTATACAACATCCCTTTGTTATCTCTGGCTTGGGCAGATGCTGCCTTGGTACTATTGTGTGCGCCAGCGCAACCTCATTCGCAACTGAAGACAACTTTGTGGAGAGGTAGAAGAGAGGTGAGGGAGAGGAAGATAACGACATGACAGCTCAGAAGTAAGGGAAACCCGTGTCAGCTAAGCAGCGAGAAGGCCTGGCTAAAGCAGGGAACTTCTCAGCACCTTTCCGCAACACCTCCCATCCCCACATTGCTTAATTTTCTGGTCAATGCGGCAAAGCTATTCTTCATGCTGATTGTGTGAACGCCTGCCCTGTCCGGTTACAAAGAACATGAGACCAGTGCTCCAATTAGTAATCTTAGAACACAAAAGTCTCAAAATAAAAACTGTAAAAGCTAAAGAAGGGCCATGCTCAAACTCCAACTACCTGATGCTGACCATTTGCAAGCCTGAATGTACTTCCCTTTCCCCCACATACACTGGATGTTTGAGACAAGGTTTTACTCTGCAGTCTAGGCTGACCTGGAAACTCACTGGCTTCAAACCTGCATCAGTCCTCTGTGTCAGCCGCCTAGTGATGGATGGCACTGTGAGCATGGAGCTTCTAAGTATATTTTTCTCTTGACATTTCCATCTATTTTTGAGGCTAATGTAATTTTCAAGGCAGTAGATTTCTCGTTAAAAATGAAATGGTTTCTTGCTTGTTCCTTTAGATTCAATTTTATACAAATACATGACAGACACTCCAAAAACATTTTGAGGTACTTTTAAACTTTAGCCACAAAAATTTACACTTATACTTTCTTTTTTTTTTTTTTGTAAAAAAAAAAAAAAAGGCAAAATAGTAAACTGTTCCCATATTTATTTACAAGTCAAATATTAAGAGAGTTGGGAAGATGGCTCAGAGCAACGTTACAAGAAACCTACTGGGTTCGGTTCCCAGCACCTCACAGTGACTCACAATCACCTGTAACTGCAGTTTCGAGGGCTGCAATGCCTTCTTCCAACATCCTCGTGCACGTGTGCACACACTCATACACGCACACAAACAATTAAAATAAGTGAATAAATTTAAGTCATTATTAAATGAAAATGTAAACCCCAAAGTACCTACTATTACAATCCCAAACCTAGCTCACCTTTCCTCAAAGCAATTTGTTACATATAGCAGATTTCATGGCACATGTTTGGAATCCCATCAAGTGAAGGAAGGTGAAGACAAAAAGGACCACAATTTCAAGACCAGCCTGAAACTCCGAAGATTGTATAACAAACAAACAAACAAACAAACAAAAAAGCAATTTCCTACCCAAGTATAAGGGCACACACCAAGAACCCCAGCACTTGAGAGACAGAGGCAAGGGATTGCATTAAATCTGAAGCCATCCTGGTTTACACAAAGAGATCTAAACTCATGAAGGCTACTTAGTAATACCCTGTTTCAATAAAAGATTCATTTTCATAAGATGTAGAGTGCAATAAAATAGGGCATCTTAAAAGTTGAAATAATGTTAATAGCATTTTAGGAATGATGTAATAAGAGAAAACCATCATCACCCTAATAAGTGTATTCTGCCTCATACATTAGCCAGGAGTATCGGGCTCTATGTCTACCACTGGCTTAATAATGGTGAATAACCCCTGGTCAAGAGAAGTGTCCTGAGGAACTTGATGGCCTTGACACAGCACAACGTGCTCTAGACTTTACCTTATTGTGAAAAACACATCTTTATCCTGCTATCCCAGAGCACTTAAGAACTAGCATCAGTAACCCCTTATTCTAGAAAAGAAATAAGTTAGGCAGGCTTCAAACTGCTCCTGCAGTAAGTCCACGGTACATGCTACTCTCAACCAACCTCGGCAAGAGGAGAATAAATAGCTTTCCGCTTATTCTGCAGCTGGGAAGAGGTACAGCAGCAAATACGGTCTTCCTAAATAAAGGCAAATACTTCTGTCATACCAAGAAAGGAAGGAGGGAGGGAGGCTTGCCAGAGTCTGCTGGGAGATAACAGTGGGAACTGCTGGTCCATCTGGCTTTCATTCTGCTAACACTCAGAGGGAAGGCAGGCCAGATACACAGACTTGGAGCACGTGGTTGCACAGACAGAAAGGAAGAGCAGAGGAAGAAAAGGAAATGGGAGGAAAGAAAAAAGAAAGAAAGAAAGAAAGAAAGAGAGAGAGAGAGAGAGAGAAAGAAAGAAAGAAAGAAAGAAAGAAAGAAAGAAAGAAAGAAAGAAAGAAAGAAAGAAAGAAGCAATAAAGGAAAAGGGAGAAACAGGGAAAGAACAAAGCAAGGAGAAAGGCCCCCAAAAGGAGTGATGCCCCCTCAGAAGCTTTGTTGACGCATAACTGAAGCAGGCTCCTCAGCCCAGGCCACAGTTGCCTACCTCAGATGCCAAGGATACTTAAACTGATACAGCTCACAGCAGTCCTCTGTCCTCTTACATACTTATACCGAGAGAGAGAGAGAGAGAGAGAGAGAGAGAGAGAGAGAGAGAGAGAGACTGTAAAGCCCACAATGGGCTTCCTCTTCAAATCTAAGATTTAGGTTTCTGCTCAGGATGATCTTTGTGTTGCGGTATCTGCCCAGTTCTGGAAAGATGATGGATGTATTTGTAGCTTTAATTGGGAAACATTTTCAACACCACTCTTGGACCACACACGCAACATAGTGCTTACTCAGAATATCATTATCAACGTAGGTAAGAGGGATTTTTTTTTTTAATGTCATCAAAGTTTTAGGAAAAAGAACTGCCAATCAGCATGTGGAAGGGCATCACTAGTTCAAACAGGGATGGACTCATTCTGCCCAGATATGTGTGTACATGTAAACATTTAACATTTTGACATTAGCCAAATTTCCGTGATGGTTGGCTTCCCTGATCAAATAGTTCCAACCAAGGGGCCCTACAAATGATGACAAAGTGGGACCATATGTGAGCCACTCTGCTCTACAATCCACCCAGGACAGCGATGGGGAGAGAAAAACGCCAGCCAGGCCTAATCCATGCACACAGAAACATTCTGGGGCACAAAGATTGCAGATAAATTTAGACAATGTGTTTCAAGTATGCTGAGCTCTGTTGCATTTGTTTGGGATTATTTTTTTCAGTGTTTTGAAATATATATTCTTGAAATTCTCAGAGCAAACAGCACAAGAGCGATGACTTAAACCGAGAAGCATTTCCCCCCTTTTTCAGTTTAGAGGACGCGGTTAAACAAGCATGAGGTTCTACCGCATCACAAGTAATATTTTTAAGTTAATGAAGATTATATCTTCCTGGCGTGCCCCGTCTGTTTTCCAGTTTTGGGAGACAATGTGTGACACTTACTGAAAGAGTGACACAAAATGACCCAAAGAGAGAAGGGAAGAAAGGGATGCAGGTGGGAAAGGAAAGAAAAGACGGAAAAAGAACTCTGGACAGGTCCCTGAGGTCGGTAAAGGAAACAAGCATTGACTTTACCTCTCACATTAATGATTCACACGGCTTCGAGACAAAACAGTCTGCCCTGCGCAGTAACATTCTCCCCCCTTGGCAAATACCCAGCATATATGTACCAAAGATGGTGGAGCATGGAAAAAATTACAGCATACAAAAATGTATTACTGATACCATTTCAATATTGAATTCTTTGCCAGGGCCCTCTAGAGGCGGTATGTTTTCCATTTCCTTTTTCTTTCTTTTTTGAATGTAAAAAGGTAAAACGTAATCTGGCCTGGCACTTGTCTCAACTTAACCTTAGTCCAAATCCTTCCAGGTGTTTATTCAAGGTCTGAAGGAGAGGTAGTCCAAAATGGCCTGTTTACATGCCACACTGGAGAGGATAGGTGTCAAGCAATTCCTTCAACTGTTAATAGTGAGCTCTCCTTTAGATTAGCTATCCTGAGCCTTAATTCTGCACAGTAAAAATGGAAAGTCTATTCTGTGTTCCTCTTAGAGATGGGGTACGAAATTGAATGAGATCACGTGTTTAAAGCCCTAGTCTCCACTCATACCAGTCACCAGTGTCCCCCTGCACCTTCCGAGAAGTGGATCTGTCTCTTGCAAGTTTATCAAGTCTTGGATCTATCAATACAGTAGATGGGTATTGCTACTGCTGGGTTTCCTGGGACATTTTTGTTTGTTTTTGAGTCCTCCTTTGTTGCTCCACGCCCCCAGAGAATGGCCTGCCCTTATCTGCGTATTCTTCCTTGCTCTTCAGAGCTAACCCTTACAGTTTTCCTCAACTGCCCATGCACCAACAACATATAAGTTCTGATTCCATTTTACCATTCATCAGTCTGTCTGCATGAGAAAGTGTGTAAATCCTACACACACCGAGGAAACACTCTTGAGAGTGTAGTTAAAAAGCATGTATAAGCTGGGTGTGGTGGGCCACACCTTTAATCCTAGTACTTGAGAGGCAGAGGCAGGTGGATCTCTGTGAATTCAAGGCCAGACTGGTTTACATATTGAGTTCCAGGCAGAAGAAGCTACATCAAGGCCCTGTCTCAAAACAAAACAAAACAAAACAAAATAAACAGGCATAACTCAGTTTATAGGAAGAATGATCACATTCCCTTTCTAAATCCATTCTCTGTATTGGAGCCAGTTCAAAGATAATCAAGCTTAGTGTTATACCTACCATTAATAGCACATAAGGACAAAGCAGAACTCAGGGACAGATGCTCTGGGATTTCTATTGGGATTATGTGCTAATAACTCATTGTAAATTGAAAGTATTGTAAATCAGAAGTGGATTTGTGGGGCCCATTAGATGACTCAGTGGGTAAAAGTGCTTGCCACT